TGTTTCATTCAAACCACTAAAAGGAGAATCCTATATGGCAGCAGGGAGACATGTACAAAGACAACTAACTGAGCTCAACTCTTCATTTGGTGATTTTAAAAGACAACTGGTGAGGATAAGGTCAGAAAAGCAGTCGCTCTCACACAAACATGCACGCTGCATTAAAATAAAGCTGGGCAACATAATGCTCTTTGTGTTCTAGGCATCCGTGTTACGTACATGGGAGTAATCTCCTGAGAGATCCCTTTTATCCCTGAACTTTTGCCCCCAGAAGCAAGAGTTCTTTACTGCTGTGTCTACCAAGGACCCGAAATGAATTATTCCTCACTGCCGCTGATGAAGAGAAACACAGTGGACCAGTGACTAACAGGACAGATCTTTTCAACTTGAACCTTAAATGACTGTTTTATTCTTGACAAGATTTGGTGCTCATTTTAATTCCTTAGATATTCAGTTAGGATTAATTTACTAAATAGATAAAGTTGTCAGTGATGACAGAAGTATTCACATACTCTACTTAAGTTAAAGTTGCAATACAACTGTGTCAAAATACTGCATTACAAGTAATGCAATGTATTATAAAATGTATTTAAAGTACAGCACATTAATATTAACATATTGGATTATGAAGTGTAAGAATAATTGTAATGCTGGAGAATTGGAGAATTCAAGTAAAGTACAGGTAGACGTACTTCAAAATTGTATTTGACACATATACGCATGCATTTGGAACGGTCGAAAGGTTAGCTTAGGACGGTTTTAGACATACAAATGAACTGTATTCATTTATAAAGATGATCTCCCTGTATATCGAATTTTCCCCCTCACTATTGTGGGAGTTTGTTTATTTAGTAGCCTCTGCACTGAATTACTCTCATGCACGAGGGGAACAAAAGAGTGTCAAGACTGCCAGATATGTGGCTCCTTTTGTTAGGTCATTTTGTCAGTTTATACTCTGGTCATAAATAAATATTATTATTAAGGAACTTAACCCTAATGTTCTGTTTGGCACACTTATTTCCGTATTTGGTGTGAAACAATGCCTCACGGTCATTTCTGCATTTTGTCACCGTCATTCAATGTGGAAATAAAGTTTGTGACAAAGGGGAAATTGACACTTCAATCATTTTCTACATAATGCAGATTAACGGGGTCAGAACAAAAGAAGAAAAAATATGAAGGAAGAAAATTGATTTTGGAGGTGTTATTAAACAGGCAGCAGTGGGGTTTGCGGACCCTAAACAATGAGGAGGTAAACCCAATGTCACCAAAACACAAGTGCTAAACTTGAAACTGCTGCAAAGAACTCTCTTTCACCAAACCTGTGCTAGGGTGTTATTATTCTTCATTAAATGACCAGTTACAAGGAAGTAGTAAACAGCAATTTCATAGTTATCTGTCATGTCAGACAACTATTATTCAAAGCTTTAGACAAAGAGTGATGGCTTAATTACTAATTTGACTGGTCACAATAGCATTTTGAGCCCTATCCAAACATATTAAAGATTGACATCGTCTAATTACCTCAAACAAGGAGCATCTTGGTAGCCAAATGGTTACAGCTAAGCCATTTAACCACTTAACATCTGTTGTGTTGTTTGATTCTGGCCTTAGTTGGGACCTTTGTTGCATGCCATTCATACCCCCTTTTTCTCCCACTGTCCTCTATCACATGAGGGGACAAATGCTGCAAAAAATAATGTTAAGAAACATATACAAACCAGAGTAATGATATGTTTGGTTTACAAAATAGGATCCTTCAAAACAAAGTAAACCGCACCATAATCTCTTAAACAAAATGTTTTTAAAGACTACATTTTGGGCTAGTGCAGAAACATAAGATGATTATTAACAAAATTTAATTAAACACACAATTCTATATCAACTACAACTGTATGCAGACTTCCACTTCAGGCATGGATTGAAGAAATCTTCTGTCGTTTTATGTTTAATTTTACGATGTGAGGAGTGAGAGGTTCAGGGTCAGAAAGACTTCTGTTACTCACACCACTTCCCCTACTTCTTCAATGTGTCGATACAGGAAATGTATACATACAGTATTCAACCACACATCTGAACACTTACAAGGGGTCGTTTGTGGTGTTTTCTCCCGTTGAGCAATAACCGTAGTGCTCGGTTGATTTATTTATGTTCCCTGTACTGTAATCACCACATACAAGCAGTAACTGTATGAATAAAGTTTGTTTCTTGTCAACATGAGACACAACAGCTAAATGATGTACTGTGTGCTTCTGTACCAGCGATACATTTGATGGAACATGGCAGGGAATTTCCTCAGGCTCACTATTCAGGCTATGGATTGTTTCTTGTACACATGTGATAGTGATTACTTATTTGCAGTCAAATCTCAAAAATGTAAACTTCTTGAAATTAAGCTATTTTCTTATTCCTCTAATGAGTGGTGGAAAAAGGTACTCAAATCCTAATAAATAGACGTTTTATAAGCTACATTTATTTGAAGTATTATAAATAATACTTGTTTTGAACAAAATCTGCCCTTTGTGATAGATATAATAAACATTATTAATACTGAGGGTGGAACTAGTTTTAAATACTTGATAGGTGAGGTAGTTTAATCAAGTGGTTACCAAACCAGGGTTTGGTGAAATGAACATCTCAAAGACATCTTAAACATGACAAGGGACCCCAACAAGACATTGTTTTCTTGTGAGGGGTCCAAAGCCAAAAAGGTTTGGAAACACATCTTTAACAATTCATTGTACTCTATGAAGTGATATGTTTTTAGTGTAAAGATTGAATCTACATCTATAGCTGCCAAACAAATGCAGTGGAAAAGAAAATATATTTTTATAATATATTCATATTTGATTCTGAATTATAGAGCATTATAAAATGGATTTTTTCCGTAGCAAAAGCAAGGTATGAAATGAATGTCATCAATGAGAGGACAGAGAAAATAGTCAAATGTAGAGGATGGCACAAGTTGTCACGATTAGGCTTTGCTTTCTGTAGCTCCTCACTCACCTAATCAGTTCATTCAGTGCACCTGCCAGTCACACTCAGCTCATTACTCTCACCTGCTCACTCTGCCTCCTTCACTATTTAAACCCCCTGCCGCACACACACCCACTGCCAGATCATTGTTTGTTTTCCGACCTACCCGCCCGGTTTGCTCGTCCTGTTCCCGGTTTTCCAGTCTGCCTGTTCTGCCTTTTCCTGCCGGATTTTCCCCCTCGTCTTTTGTCTTGTCCCTGGATTCCCTGTTTGTTTTTGGTTATCATTAAAACCTTTTTCACTACACCTGACTGTCTGCATTTGAGTCCTCACCATGCCCCGCGACAGAATGATCTGGCCAAAGATGGACTAAGCAGACCACGGTATGGAGTGTCGTCTCCCCGACTGGTATGGACAGTTCATGGGAACCCGTCTGGCCTTTGGAGAACCTCGAAGTGTCCAGAAGGCAGACCGTGACCTAATGGACATCCCGGTCAAACCTCGAAGGAGGCAGAGGAAGGGCCAGACTCCCTCTCCCGCTGGGCCGCAGTTATCCCCCGCTCCCGCTGGGCCGCAGCCGACTCCAGCTCCCCGTGTCAGGTCGGCGTTTCGACTGACTCCAGCTCCCTGTGTCCGGTCGGCGATCCAGCCGACTCCAGCTGTTGCCTCGGAGCAGCAGCAGCTACCCCCCGGACCCGGCCTCCCCCGCCTCGGAGCAGCAGCAGCTACCCCCGGACCCGGCCTCCCCCGCCTCGGAGCAGCAGCAGCTACCCCCAGACCCGGCCTCCCCCGCCTCGGAGCAGCAGCAGCTACCTCCAGTCGCGGCCGTCTCCGGACCGCAGCGCCCTCCAGTCCCGGCCTCCGTCTCCGCGCTGCAACGACCTCCGGCCGCCTCCGTGCTGCAACGATCTCCAGTCCCGGCCGCTGCCGCCTCCGCGCTGCAACGACCTCCAGCCCTTTACCCCGCTGGGTCATCAGTCTATCCCCCTGAGCCCCAGTCTATGGACTCCGGTTGCCCGGAGCCCTGTTCCCCGTCTGTTCCCCAGCCCCTGGAGCCCTGTTCCCCGTCTGTTCCCCAGCCCCTGGAGCCCTGTTCCCCGTCTGTTCCCCAGCCCCTGGAGCCCTGTTCCCCGTCTGTTCCCCAGCCCCTGGAGCCCTGTTCCCCGTCTGTTCCCCAGCCCCTGGAGCCCTGTTCCCCGTCTGTTCCCCAGCCCCTGGAGCCCTGTTCCCCGTCTGTTCCCCAGCCCCTGGAGCCCTGTTCCCCGTCTGTTCCCCAGCCCCTGGAGCCCTGTTCCCCGTCTGTTCCCCAGCCCCTGGAGCCCTGTTCCCCGTCTGATCTCCAGCCCCTGGAGCCCTGTTCCCCGTCTGATCTCCAGCCCCTGGAGCCCTGTTCCCCGTCTGATCTCCAGCCCCTGGAGCCCTGTTCCGTCCTCCGGACCCTCAGTCTCCCGTCTGATCTCCAGCCCCTGGAGCCCTGTTCCCCTCCTGGTTCTCGAGTTCCGTCCTCCGGACCCTCAGTCTCCCCAGTCTGCCAGCCTGGCCGTCCCTCCTCCGGACCCCCTCCACCCACCCGGTTGTGGACTCTGACTCTCGGCCTCGGAGGAGTTATATATTTTTTTTTTTTTTTTTTTTTTGCAGAAAGGAGACAACGGGGGAAACATCAAGTCTGAACTTGTGACTGAATTAAAATGTCTAACTTTACTGAGGACATTAAAAATCTATTAAATTCTGAACAAACATTACTGCTACAACACGGCTCACCAGGGACATGGTGTACTGATATGCTGCAGATGAAATGTTTGTGGTCTGTCGGGTGCAACGCTTTGCTTGGAATCATCAGGCTTTCCTTGTTTTCAATGTTAGCATGTAACTAGCTATCACGGAGGTATGCTGGTACAGCAGCAACCTCGCAAGCCAAACTGTTACCATGTAAAATCATCAACTCAATCTTCTGGTGATGTCGAAGTGAATATTATTGTATGATTTGAACTAGAACATACACGAGAAAATGGATACAGTAAAGACATTGGAACCCTACAGAATATTGTGGAATATTTTTTTTAAATAATGTTGGATACTTTAATTACAAAGCATTAAATGATGTATATGGAAGCTCAAATATGTGGTCTACTTAAATAATGATCCCCCATACCATCATCATATCTTGACAACTAATGTGTACCTTTCTTTTGTTATTCTTCAGATCATGCATTACTTCATAAACGGGACATCAAAGGTGTGGGCCTACCCGCAACTCTGGGAGAACAAAGCGCAAAATTGCACAGATAAGTGGCTAGTGGACTTCAGTTTTTCCAGAGAAACATCTAAATACATCTGTGCAACACTGAAGCTTGCAATACAGCGTCAAGACACATCATTGCACTGTACAAACTGGCTTCAACTACCGACAGGACAGTGTGAAACCTGTTTGCTGTGAGTTTTTGCACAGTTTGTAAGGCTATGATGTCACACCTTGGGCCTATATTAAGTCAAACACCCAACAAGGTAAAGCTGGCTGAGAAGTTAGATTATCTTGAAGACAGATTTGGAATTCCTGTGTGTGGGTGCGATAGATGGTTCTCACATCCTTATACTAAAACATCCACAGTAACATATTGTTATGCAACAGAAAAGGTCGACACTAACATCTTATTAAAAGCTGTTGTAGATCTGAAAGGGATTTTTTGGGACATAACTGTTGGACAACCTGGACGGGAACGTAACGCCAATGTGATCAGAAAATCACATATTTGATCTTTGGACAGCACCACTAATTCTTCTCCGTCAGAATTAGAAACGTGGTACTGATGAAGGCCATTTCATTATTGGGGACTGACTGCAGAGAAACCCCAGCCTGACACTGGTTGTGAAACAACTGAAAAAAACAAGTTGCACTTGTTGTGTTGTTGAACATGCTTTTGGAGGGTTGAAAGGGAAGTGGAAATGTCTTTGTAAAAGAAATGACTGCAGTGTAATTCTAATGAGAGCTGTTCACACAGCAGCAATATAAACTGCTATGGTCTGTTATGGACATTACTATGTATGAGTTGTAGCTGCTGTTGTAGTCGCATCGCATTATATTGAAGATTATTTGCTGTGATTGGCTTCGAGCTAAATTCTACAAATAGTATTTTATGTTCTAGACCTGGGCACAAAAAGGCTTGATTGCAGGTATCGGTTGAATGAGTGAGATGTTTTAATACTACTTGGTACTGGGTTATTTCAGTAGATATCTTAAAAAGGTACAGAGGTCAGCTCTCTACAAGCGAAGCTCCCCTTATCCCTTTCTCTCCCCCTCTCACTCATCTCCATCCCTGGAGACTTGTCGAGGACTCCTCCCACCTCACTCTTCATTCGTGTCCTTCTGCCTCGTGCACTCAAGCAACTCTCTTGTTGCCTGACTGGATGTTTTGCGCTTGCCACTCTCACTCACAAAAGACTAACCATTTGGCAACACATCGTGGACAGTTTCTATGCTCAGGTGCAACATGTCCAACTAAAAGCTTGTTTGTTTTTTTTGTGCAACCAGCACAAAATGTAAACTATCACTAAAACCTCCATGCTCATGTGCACAGCAAACGTGACGTTTTGATTAATGATTGTACATAGTTCCTGCACATCAACAGGCATGTAGGCAGAAAACTGTGAATCACTTAAAACTTCTCGCTCCGCTTATAACTCCCTCAGGACCGTCCATTCCTGTCAGTCTTTCACCCGGTGTCTCAAAATGTCACCTGAGCTTCATGTTTCAATTATAAAAGCCTACAGGATGTGATAAAAGATCGGTCTACTTCAAAACTTAAGTTTAAAAATAAATTCCATACCAAATCCCAGACAACAATGATTTTCCTCTGAGAAAAACTCTACAGGATTTCCAAACTCTGTGTATCATGTCAGAGATAGCCCTGTGATTAAAAGGGTTGAACGTAATGTAATATTGCTAGTTAGCTATTTGTCACCGTAGCACAGCTGAATATTTACCTAGGATGGGTGAACAAGAAGCTGGCTAACAATTATAATGCTGGAGAATATCATTTATTGCCATTGTTATCTAGCTTTGTCTCTCTGTGGTATACATAACAGTGATCAGCTCAGCCACCAAGCGAAACACGTTTTACATAACGTGTATAGCAGTGTCAGGCGTCCACCAACTAGCTGACGACTAAGACACCGGGAAAACAAAAAAGAATGCCAGGTGATCCGTGACGTCTTAACCGCTCTAATGGCTTTCTCTGGTTTTGTGAATCCCATTCCTTTAAGTCAGGTTTAGAGAGCACAGCTGTACTGCTCCGTCCATGAGAAAAGATGTAGACAGGATGGTTGACGTGTTGGAGCTTGTTTGTCAAGTTATGTCTAAAGCTAGGACAGAGTTCTCAATCCAGTCCAGCTCTTAATACTTTCCACAATTCTGCTGTAGCACACCTGACACACAACCTGTTTTTTGTTTGATGGTTTTGTTACTCTAGGATCGGTCATTCGTTCTGAGGGTATTACATCGTCAAACTTTAAAAGGGTGTGCTCAAGATAAGGGGACTTTGATAGCATTGTCAATTTACGGAGGTATAAAAGAACAGTACAAACAAAAGCAATGCTTCTGGAAAAAAAAAATAAGCAATGCTGGGTCATTGCAATGGCACTAGTAACTGCAGAACAATACACAGCATCCAGCCATGTGGATTTGTGATCAAACCTCAATGTTCCCCACTTAGGCACAACCCCAGACAAGAGAATGATTGACCTATCTGTGGATAGCCTTCATGGCCTCTTGGAAATAGATAAAGACAATCATGTACATTTTTTTCTTACATTAAGCAAGATCTAGATGGCAATTTATCATTTTTTTTACCTAAATAACAAAAGGCAAGTCTTAACCTTTTCCCAAGTGGCAAGTTTATTTACATGTATGCATTTTGGAAGATGCTTTTATACAAAAATGTTTAAAAAGTAATTTGGTAGCCTGTAACTGCCTGAACAATGTCACAAGAAATAAACACTACAATAGCAGATGCATGTAGAGAAGTCAAGGCAGTTGTGTGTACATTATGGTTCAGAATAATGGTCCTTGAAAAGTGGTGAGGAGGGCACACACCGTCCAGACTTGGTTTATAGACCCAAAAGTGGGTAATGTTCTATCAAAAATGTGGTACTCTTTAATTCTTCTAATGGCCCGTTCAACATGAATCCTAAGGCGAGCAATCTCTTGTGTCTGCAACTTGTCCTCTGGGGTAAGCTTCCTATTAGACTTTGAGAATGCTGGTGTTACAAGACGGACATTAATGGGAGACAAAAGGTCCCCAATAAAGAAATCTTTGTCTGCCATTACCTCGTCCCCTTCCTCTAACAAAGAGAGAATCCCAGACGTCTGTGATTTCTTTGTCCGATATTGACCCAATATATAAGTCACTGACGAAAGTAAGTTCACCCTATGGGCTTATGCCCACTAAGGACTTAAATGTGATTGTTCCTTTATAATAGGGGTAGGTTTCTGAATTCAGTACTTTTGAAGTGGCCCTTTTTACATGTAATTCTGTACAGTCTAATATCACTTTTGTTCGTGGAAAAGTATTTTTGAAAGAAAGAGGCAAGAGTTCATTTGCTTTTTCTCGTGAAGGCCAAACAAGGATAGAGCCTAACATGCAATAGAGAAAGTTTGTCCAAGTGATACAAATTCTGCTGACAGTTGCCTGTGATACATTGAAACGAGTAGCAAGGTCCTGTACTAAAAAACCCTGCCTCAAATGGCACAGAAAGAGAAAAAACTGGTCGATGAGAGGTAGGCTTTGCTCTTCAAATCCCTTTCTTATAATGTGTTGATCTGCTAGTGATTGGCCCCATCCTAACATGCTTTCAGCTGTAGGTTGCAAAGCCATAAAAACAGCCATGAGAGTTATTTAATCTTTAAACCCCGTGTAGAACATAATTAGCCTGTCATCACATTGGAATCATTCAAGAAAGAACCAGTTCTTTCTTAGTTTCAAAAGCTCTTCTTCTTGTCACACAATGGTCTTTTGGGCCTCTTGAAGCTGCTCCTCCAATGACGGGGGTCTTTGGCTGTAATCATGATCTGCATACGGCATACTTGTCTCTACTATTCTGAAAGTGCAGAGTAAAGATGGAAAGATGTTTTATGCGACCATTTTAGTATTAGCTTATATCTTCCTAGAAGATCTTCACTATTAAAGCTCTGCAAATATGACAATCAGGATTACCTTGATTTACAGCCTACGTCCTTTTCAGGTGCATCCTGTCCACAGGGAGCAGCATCTACATGACTGAAAAACAGAAACATGACTTTGGTTAAATTAGACAATAGGGTTCTGCATTTGATCAGAGAATTTAATTTGCAAGTAAAATATTGGATGTGGCGGGTAAACAATTCAGGTCACCTGCAACCATGGCAGCATGAACATTATTATGATTATTGTTATTTTCTGGCTGGTATCACTGACTCTGTGTTTGTTATTTTAAGGCTGTAATGATAGATGACAAAACATTTCAGTGAGAGGTAGACATGTCTACTGGCAGGTGAGAGACACTCAAAACAACATACATTGAGAACGGGAAAAATGAGATGGTGAGGGAGAAGGCGTAGGAGAGTAGCAGGATGGCTCTCTTTACCTTTTTAAATGACGTGTTGGCGAGCAGAATATAAGTGTTATATATGATGTTACACACTATTGTACAGTGGGTGGCAGTTTTGCACCAGCAAGTTGTTTGCGGTAAACCCTGTATACCTTGATCTGATCCCTTTTCCTCCTGCCAGACTCAAACGAGGACGACACATTCCCCCCCTTCCGCTTCTTGATTCCTAGAATGGTCTTGGTGTAGCAGTCTTTAGTGAAATGATCCCCACACACCCTAATCTGTAAAGATAACATTTTGATTAAACGTCACAACAATCATCAAGATATCACTGTTTGCTGGCTATAATAAAAGGGCCACAACAGAATGACCCAAATGCTAGCTAGCTAACGTTTGAGCCATAGCATACAGTTTAAATGCAAGTCAAACCGTTCATTACTTCAACAACAACAACCTATATGGTAGCTGGTAAGTTTAAGGGACCCAGCTAACTCATGTGTCCTATGAAATCCAGCTTGTCTGGTGGGTTTAACTGGATACAGAGCTAGAAGAAACAATGAAACAATGAAACTCACCTTTAAAAGGTGGTCAAAAAATGACGGGATCGCTCCTTCCTTTAAACGAGTTGTCTGTCCAGTTCTGTCGAAGTCTTCTGACTGGAAATGGCAGCTGCAAATAACCGAGCAGTCAGTTGGCTCAAAGTCCTCTCTCTTCAAGGCTACCATCCATGCCTGTATTTTAACCTTATCTTTTGGGAACCTATACACAAAAAAAATCCATTTGAAAACACTATTTAATTTTGCCTGCTTTTGTTGATTCAATTCTGGCACTTTGTATACGTTATCACCATGAAACTGTTGTGAACTAACCATTTAGGACTGCTTTACTCAATAACACATGAATGATGAATATAATTTTACTAGTACAGGCTTTTTTCTTGTTCATCTTTTCCTCTTGACCTGACATGAGCTTAACTTTAACTAACTTAAGCACAGTCACAAATGCAGGCCCTACACTAGAGAATAATTGGGCATATTTTGGGCATGATTTTACCCTCCTGACAATGGTGGAGGTGTTGTAGATTCGAGACTGGTCTGCAAAGATTATCTGCCCAAATGATCCTGTGGTGTGAGAGGTTTACAGACGTAATCCCACTTTTACCGACTGGATCGGAGTCTGACATGTTTTATGTGTTTGACTTGAAATCCTGTTGCGTCAAAATAACAGCAATGGAATATTGACCAGAAATCCGCAACAGCCAATGAGAGCGAGCTGACTGGGAAGCACTACCAACCGGATGTTGCGTACTTGAATAATTATTAAATCATAAGAATATGTATTTGTCTCTCATTGCGTTGTTTTATTATATAGCCCTCACTTGTGTTCTAAATAGGTATATATTGTTGATGTTATCAGCTCCTGTTCTGTATTGTGTTACTTGTTACATGGCGTGTATTGTTTTGCTAAATACAGTTTTGGGTAAAAAAAACAACGACTAAAATTCAAGCATGAGCCATGTGCCCGTTATATTAGAGTATCGGTGTGATCGCGACGTGAATATAACGTTAACGTTAGCATTAGCTTAGCTTCCTGCAGCGCCGCTAACGCTAACCTAGTATACGTTTATTTATTCAAGTTTCCCTGGAACCGCCTCTTTGAAATAATTCAAATACCAAGCATGTGGTATCCACATTAATATCAGTTACTATTTCAAAATCCTCTCGTGTGCACCAGGGATTATTTTAGTTATTGCTATACAACAAATCCACACGTTCGTCACGGTAGAATCATCGTAGGATCAATTCTCACCTGTGAAATGTTATTTCCTGCTGCTTGGTTTTGGCATTTCTTTCATGAGAGCATCAGCACAAAAGTCTGGCATTGTGTACTCTTCTGATTTGAGCTGTTCCCGGGCGGAGATGCCGGGACAGACAACTTTATGATACCGGCTCACAAACCGGATCATCATCATCATCATCATCATCTTCTTCTTCTTCTTCTTCTTCTTCTGGTTTACGGCTGTTGGCATCCAGTTTATTGGTGCAATACCGCCACCTTCTGCTCCGGAGTGTGGATAAGGATACCCTCTCGACAATCAAACGAAGGAAATTAAACAATTAACCAAACAAAATTATAGTCTTGTTGACCATAAATATTCTTTAGTACATTCATTATATTTTCCTCTCCAGTCTCTCTTAATCCATTCTTCGAAACTTCTCTCCCTGAATCGTACCTCTGACAGGACAATAAAACATGATTCACAGTTTCTTCTTCACAAAATTCACACTTTCCATTAGTATGCTTTCCAATAACAGAGGGAACTGTTAAAACCAGTATGGCCATTCCTTGGTCTTGTTATAATCCTCTCTTCTTTCCTAATCTGTCCACTAGAGCCTGCATTCCTAACCAATGGTTTATTTTTTTTAAATATATATTTCTTTACTCCCTTTATTCCATTCGTTCTGCCATATCTTTTTGACTTGTCCCTTAATCACCACTTTGGCTTCTGACTTACTTATATTTACATTAATGTTATTTCTTCCACTTTTCAAAGCTCTTTTTTCTGCTTTGTCCACCTTCTCTTTCCATCAACTCCAAGATGGGCAGGGACCCACACAAAAACAACAGACACCCACATTTGATGGATTCTGAATACGAATAGTGATTGTAGTATTTCTCACAATAAATCCTCTCTACTTCTGGCAACATTCCAAGCTCATTGACACTGCACATGTCTGATGCAATTACCACTCTCTCTGGTCCTCTACCCATTGAAAGGCAATAACTATGGCCATCATCTCACATGCAAACACAAATAAATCATCACCAAGTCTCTTCCCACTCTCAACATTGAATTATGAGATTACTGCTGCTGCTGCTGCTGCTGTTCTGCCAGTTAAAGCTACCACTACCTCCTTATTCACTTGTGCCTTCCTCACCTCTGCTTCTAGACATACTATTGGATCCCTTGTTACTCTTCCTTTTCTAAATCCACTTTGATGTTTTCACCTAAGATTTCTTGTTCCCAAATAATATGTTAGTCTTTCTGTCATCATACGCTCCATACTTTTACACATGTGGGAAGTCAATGCTATTGGTCTATAGTTAGATGGATTGGTGGGATATGTTGCTGGTTTCCTGATGGGTACTATAACTGATTACTATGACTGTTTCCCACTTCCTGGTAATTTTCCTTCCAGCCAAACCCTATTACATAATTGCAAAATCACTCGTTGGGAGATGACATCCTCTATGATGTTGCGTGTTACTGCTCCCACTACTGGCTATAACCATCCACTGTTGTCCTATTCTATTGTAGCCAATTATCGAGCAACCACTCTGGTTGCTTTCTAAAACCTTATACCCCCTTTCTCCCCCTGCATGGTCTCTCTACTGTCGATCTACTTTAATCCTGGCCTCTCCTCGTATTAACTGCCCCTGTAGCATTGTAAGCATATCCCTTCTTTCCTATTCATACTTCCTCATGGAATTAGGACGCGCACTTTTGTCTCGTTTTCTTGACACTGATTAGGTAATTAGTAAACATTTCATATACAAAGTCGTCACGATTCCTTGCGGATCCTGTTCTACCCCGAGTCATTACAGATCTGTATTTTACTTTCTGTCATCACTGCTGCCCATGTTGCATATATCTGTGAGTGGATCATTTGAACCGTCTTAAGCTATAAAAGCTATATTTGGGTTAATCACTGCATTTCATATCCCTACCACTGTAATATTGGTAAACTCGATTTTATATATTTTATTTCCATTTCAGTTTCTCCATGTCTCACAAACCGGATGTAGCGTGTCGGTCTATATGTACGTGTGGGTGGTGTCTATGGACACAATGAGTTAAGCTAGCAGTTGAACCGGACGGCGTGTTCTCTGCTGCTAACGTTTTTATCGAATAGCAGATACAAAAGGGTGAGCTACATGTCCTAAATATACCGATCTGCTTGTTTCCCTCAATGTTTATATTACGCGAGGTCGGTTAGTGTGCTAGTGGGCTGAGATGTTTTCTTTCTTTAACCGTCGTCGCGGTTATGCTAAATTTGCTCGCTAATGCTAATACATGCTGCTAACAATGCTAGCATTAATGTACGCGGGGGTTTGGAATCCTGGCTACATACACATTTGGTAACTCTTAGCGTTAGCTAAGTTGGACACGAAAGTATCAGGTTTGTGTACGTTAGTGAATATGTCAATCAGACAGATCTGCGTTGTAAACTAACCGACAACATTAAACGGTGGTAAGGGTTATCTGGTACGTTGTGACGCACAAGCTAAGACATTCCAAATATATGCTAGCTAGCTTTAGCTTGGTAATGTGCACGTCTACGTTAGCATTTAAGTAGCACGTTATAACATTAACGTAGCCCACTTTATTTTGGTAATTGCATCAGTTAACCCGTTTGCAGTATTGTTTTGATTGCACGGTTTTGATTTAAATTGCAATTTGAAATGTTTTTGAACCCTCTCATAGAAACCGCTCTTTCAAACGCTCGTGCAAGCTATCGATGTAGAACGTTTGCCAAACGCGAGACCGAGATAAAATGGACATTAAATTGAATTGTTGAAATGTATTTTACACACAGGTCAGGTATGTGGCTCTAATAACGTCTGACTGTCTTTCATTTCAGACACATCTGATTGTGGGACTCCAATAAAGAAGACATTTTAATCTGGTGAAATGAGTAAGTCACGTTGATTTGTTACTTAACGTTAATAACAGAGTGTACGATCTGATTCAGCTCCAAACACTACAGGGTGTTTCCCCAGGACGTTCTTCAGCTCAGGTGATAAGCCACCTGGAACATGACGTACTTGGATTAATTATCAATTTACTAACTGAACCTAATGCAATTACATCTAGTAAGTGTATATGGCATTTTCTCATTGTTTCTTTCTTTTGTTTGTCTGTTCTGTTTGTTTATGCACCATGTAAAGCATCTTTGGGTACTTAGAAAAGTGCTATATAAAACTAAAGTATTATCATTATTCTAATTACAACAGTGTTGGCATATAGGGGGGCTGGTTGTTCATAATGAAAGAACTGATCAGGACGCCAGCGTTGCAAGTCTTAATTGGAAGATGCAGAGTAAGTTATCGTGATGCACAGGCAACATTAAATGTATCCCTCCATGTTTGCATTTCTTTCTTTTAGGTCAAACCGACCAATTTCCCCTTGACTGCAAGGTGTATGTTGGGAATCTAGGAAACAATGGAAACAAGACTGAGTTGGAAAGTGCTTTTGGGTACTATGGTCCTTTAAGAAGTGTCTGGGTTGCCAGGAATCCCCCAGGCTTTGCTTTTGTAGAGTTTGAAGATCCCAGAGATGCAAACGATGCTGTGAAAGAACTGGATGGAAGGTAACAGTCCGCACATTTTTCAAGTAGTTGTTCCTTTGTAGTGAATGTTGTTTTGCGCTTTTCCACTAATGTGATGACTTGTTTAGACACATGTGTGGCTGTCGGGTGCGTGTCGAGTTGTCCAATGGGGAGAAGCGCTCAAGGAGCCGTGGCCATCCTCCGTCCTGGGGTAGACGGCCTCGCGACGATGTAAGTCGTCGACGTAGTCCTCCGGTCAGACGCAGGTATGTGGTTCCTACTTAACTATTCTGTTTACCGTCTCATTTGCACTGTTTACATTTTTCTTAAATTGTTTTTCAAGCACAATTGACAAAGCATATTTATATTCCCCACACACTATAAGAATTATTTATTACTCTCATCAAAATGTTAGTTTGGCAAAGCTGTTTAAGTCTGACAACTTCACACAGTGATGAATATTTAACTCTCAGACCTATTAATGCTTAGTGAACGTTTAAGGCAAAATGAAGTAGGAAGTTTATCATAGCTGTGGCCTAAATTTAATTATCACTCTTAAGTGCTGTAAATCAATAAAATAATTATTAGCACACGTACAAAATGAGCTCATCAATGGAGAATCTGTGTATCTGACTGCTTCAGGATTGGATGCATTGATGTCACTCACTTTTGTGTTTTAAAATATAAAACTACATTAACCAGAGTGACACTTTTAAAACAAACTTTCTTCATAGTTTCATTGTTTCCAGGGGTATTTTTTAATCTTTGCTAAATTTACAGCTTAAGTCAGCACTTATGATCTCTTATAATGGTATGTCTGTAAGAAGACCACGCTCTACTAGAGTGATATTGCTTTACGGGGACATCTTAAGAGGCACTTCATAATCCATCCAACATTTTTATAGGTAATTTCTAGAATTACATTCTGCAGGTGTACATTTTGTTTTCTTTCTGAGTTCAGTTGCCATCTATTAATAAAACTGAACCCCGTTGCAGAGTCACCACCACGCTTCTCACCATCTGAGTCAGTCAACTAGTCTTCTTTCAGCATCATGTGACTGCTGACCAGGGAGCCCCAATCAGCTGGGCTGGTGTTGTCACATGACCAAGGCGCACCGCCAGTCGTCAGGTTCCACCAACCGTTTGGTTCCTGAGCATGCAGTTCGCAACATCCTCCTCCTCGTCCTCCAACCTTAATCCAATCGACAGCGGCCCACTTCACATTATCAACCAATCAGCGTCTTTACTCTCTATTCTCCACACAACTACTGTATCAACGGGAACAGCCCTTGGCTTACATCCCTTCCCCCCAAAAAAGGCAGGAAAAATCTACAACTACCCCTTCCAACCAGCCACCAAGCAACTTCATATCGCCAACATTTGCATCATGTGGCAAATCCTCTCTGCAATTCGACTTCCCTCACCATCAGTCTGGCTTCCTTGCGTCATATCTATCTTGTCCAAATCCCCCAAAATAGTAAGTTGCATTTATCCTGCTCTTTGTAGTTTTGATGCTTACTCTAGCTTTCAAAGGTGCTTGACGGTTTTCGCTCAGCAGTTAAGTATTTCAGAGCAAGTGCAGAGCTGCACAAATCTACAGATCAGAGTTGTGGTCAAGGAACTTTGCCGTTAGTCTTCTATTTTTATTTGCAAAGATGAACTACGTTTATCTGATGTTCACCATGTAATTGGGCTACAGAGTGCATTGTCATGGTTCGACATTAAGCAATCTTGGCTGATAACTATTGGACTAGATTGTACTTAGTTTTTTTTTTTTTTTTTTAGCTTAAATGTTCTTCCCCTTTTCCCTTATCTTTTTACCTGTAGTGCTTCATTTAAAGTAATTGTTTTTAAAGTTGTTTTGCATCAATCAATAGAGCCAACACATGTAGGTTACTCGTGGTTTTGATGCTACAGTCACAATTCAGTGGTTCACAAAATGTCTTGTATCCAAGTTTCTTTGAACTGAAAGTAAGCCCAAAGTCTGTTTGTGATCCGGTCCACTGTGTAGAAGAATTTACTTTTATCATGGACTCTGTGTAGATCACTAACAAAGGCTGTCTGCCTCCAGTGTTGTTTTATAGCAGCCTTGCAGCAGACGGATGATTTAAGAACATGTTTTGCCCATTTGTCATAATTTAATTTGTAACATAATGTAGTCGTGTGTGTGTGTGTGCGTGCGTGTGTGTGTGTGTGTGTGTGTGTGTGGGCAAGCCTTAATGTCGACCCCTGATTTTGTTCTATATTCTGAAATCTGGCTCCATGATTGGTGCTCATTGGACAAAGTTTCCTTTTAAATGAATTGATCTTGGTGCAGTTCATGGATGCAGATGGTCCTTCTATTAACAGACACTACGTGTAACCAGGTTTCCACGTGTTATCCATGTCTCTAAGGATCAGGAATACCAGCTTTCATTAGTGATAGGAGGGCAAAAATCGTTCCTAATTTTATTTTTTTTGCTTCGTTTTTTTTTTTACTTGATGTACACTATAGGAGGAGGAGCCGCAGTCGCAGCAGGTAAGATTGTAACGGTTTTTATTTAAACTATGTGTTTGTCGATTAAATAATGGTAAAATTCATGTGAATTGTTTTTTGGTGTGGTTCACCAGGTCTCTTTCAAGAGACAGAGGCAGACAACGATCTATCTCCAGAGACAAGAAGTGCCCAAGATCCATCTCGCGGTCAAGGAGGCAAGTATTATTATTATTATTATTATTATTATTATTATTATTATCATCATCATCATACTGGACTCCATGATGGCTGGAGTATTTTTGTTTGCAGTTATTGACTAGTTTGTTTGTTTTACAGTCGTTCCCGGTCCAACGACAGAAAATGAGGACCTCAAGGATCATTCATCTGCGGATCTTGCTGTTGTTGGGGGAAAATACTAATTTTTATAGTCATGTTTTTCTTTTCTCCTGGGTTGATCAAGTTACATATTGTGTATTGGCAGTCTGTTGAATTAACAACAAAGGACTGTAGTCCTTTTCTCCGAAAGCAAATTCTATCGTACCCTGCATGTTTTGAAATGGAATACTGGATTTTTATTTTTTATTCAGTTTTACATTACCATCCTGTTTTTTTAAAAACTTTTGAATTAAAGCTCATATAATGGTTTTATTTGTTTTGTTTGCTTTTTTTAAAATTCTTGGTTGACTCTTAAATTACCGGCAATGGATTCATGTGAGATCCACGAGTAGGAGAATACGTTATAGCAGTGATAGAAATCAAACTGGCAACAAATGTTGTTAAATATTGGCACTGTTATTTGCAGGCTATCCTTCAAGCCAAAAACATCTGTAATTCTGTGTTTTACCTATGTCACTTTTGCAAAAAAAAAAAGAAATGCATTTACTCTTTTCAATTTTGCTTGACTCTCTGAGCTGACAATTTGTGCTGCAGATAAACAACTTGTTCAATAAATGGTTTTCCAAGGTCACTTATCTTGCTTCTTTGTGTTTTTAGATGGTTGCATAAACAAATAAGATTAATTGTATGTAAAAAATCATCCTAATCCAATAATCAATAGCCATTTAGTAAAGTAAATATGGAACATAAAGCTTTGTTCAGTTCAGGAAGTACTGCATGTTGCTGCTATCGTCTGCTAAAGCCAGCATGTTACCCACACAGGAAGTTCTCAGTCATGGTTCCAGTAAAGAAACACTTCCTCCCTTTTGTGAAATGTAATTGCCGTTGAGCATAGGCGGATGACCTGACATTGCAAAGCAGCCCGTGATGCGAGACGACAGAGTTTTGGGAGGTAAGTGTATGTGGCGTCGTAACCATTACGGAGAAGGCTTGACATCTTGTCAAATTAATTTGTTACTTCAACCAAATGTATTTACTAATTAACATAAATGTTAACTTTTTTATTTTTTAAAGAAACTGAAGTTGGTGGTATGGTAGTGGTAAATACCAAAAATGCATTTCAATGTTTTGTTTGAGCACAAAATTATTGATGTGAATGTTTAAATGCATTTATTGGAGACATAAATTACTATTGTATTTACTGTATTACATATGTAGTGAAAAGTCTGGATGTTATCTGATGCGGATGTGTAATAGATGTAAACTTGATTTGAATGTCTCAGGCTTTAAGAGAGAAGATAAGAAGACATGTCTGCTCAAAGTGCAAAGAAAAAAAGGCTTGGTTCACGTCGTAGGGTAGCAAACCAAAATGAAATATCCAAGACTGATGACTCGCACCTAACGGACAGTACCTTTGTAGCTCAATGCCACATACCAGAAGAAAATACTGAATCTTTAAATGTATTGGCTGATTTTCACAATTCACAATCTGAAACCCAACATCCACCTTCACCTGAACTCTCGGGGAACAGAAGGAAACTGGGGTCTAGTCGAAGGCATAAAGAAAAGCATGTTAAGGAATCTGTGACTGAATCATACCAAGAACCTAGAGATAAAGTTGAGCATATGACCAGGACATTCGCTATACAACCTGAGAGGCAGGCAGGCGCTTCACCTGATTATTATTCTGAGGTTCAGAACGCTACTCCAACAAACTGTTCAGAGGCTGACCTGGAGAGTTTCAGTTCCAAATGTGAAAATCTGCAAGCAGACCGAGATGAAAATGAGACATACTCTAAAGCGATATCAGACTCTTGTACATTAGTGAAAACCACGCAGGAAGGAATTGAAAAATCTGACCACCTTCACAGTGAGGAAGTCAAAGAAAGTGCACATCTTGTTGGAATCTCTGAGTTAAGTGTTCTTTCGTGTCCAACAGCAGATGAGCAACTGATTGACCGATCAAATTGCAGGGAAATACCAGAAGAAAAACCTCCCAATGTGTGTTCTGTAACAGAAAAAGAAGGCAAGGAAGGAGATGAGAGCACAGATTTGTCCTTTTCTATCACACCGGAGATAACCACAGAAACAATCTCCACAATAGACAATACTGAAATTGAATGCAGTGTTCGACAAGGAACAATTTCATCGCTAAAAGCGGAGTTGCCTACAAAAGTGGAACAAAATGAGGATTTTGATTTAGTAGAAGTCGAATGTGCTCATCATTCAGAAGACGGTGTAAACAAAGTGCATGAAAATGATTACTCATCTGAAAGTGTCATACAGCATGTCAAAGAGTCTGTTGCCGAATCAGACCATGAACCTACAGAGCATGTGGTTGGAAATATCAGCGA